CCCTGCGGCGGCCTGCTTCTCCCTCTGCCTGTGTCTCTGCCCCCCCCATCTCTCTCATGCATAAATAAATAAGACTTAAAAAGTTTAAATACATAAAAATAAAATTTACGGTCAAGAGAAACATCAATTTATTAATCTTCATCAACATCAAGAGTAGTTACTGTGATTACCCCCAATCACAGAGTTGAAGAGGCGGAGACACAGGTTTATTTAAACAGAAGCTTAGATCACACCACAGGATTCCCGGCAGGGCCTTCTCCAAGAGGAACCTGTCAGGACAGTAAATACTTGCTTAAATACTTGCTGAATATCCACCGCCGTGCGGTGCAGACCCATACATTCAAAGCCTGCCTTACCTTATCTGAGACTGTTTACGTGACACATTCAATGAGACTTTAATTACCATGATTCTGGAAAATGCCTCGGGAATGAATGTGAAGTGTGATAGTAGGAGGTAAGTCCTCTGCTGGTTGTAGGATGAAAAATTAAGTGAATATATTAAATCAAGAAAATTGAAATTTGAAATCGTTCTGTGTATGAAACAGTGTTACATTTAAGTTATCCCTACGGGGCACTTTGAGATGGTCACATCATGTTTGTGATTCTTTGGGGCTGAATTATGGGGAGTTTTGCCCTTGTGAAGATTTCTGATTTGCCAAGTAGATTAAAATGATCTCATGAGGAATTGCTTGAAAAAGCATCAGTGTTTTATTCTGAAGGAGGGAAAACTAAGGAATTGAGAGTCTGCCCTCAAATATTTGAAAAACTGTCATTTGGAAGTGGGAGAAGACCTCACCCGTGTTGCCTTAAAGGAAGACCTTGCGGTGTGGTTGGGGGGTGGTTTACATATTTAGGGACAACATCGAGGGCTTACGGTGGGAAATGCTCTAGGGGAAGGGTGCGCGGAGTGCGTGCAGGTGAGGGATGCAGCGATCACGTAGAAACAAGGGGGCAGTGCAGGAATCCAGTGCCCCGGAAGGGTGCTTTTGAGAAACAGGCCACGAAAGGCGAAAGGCAGTGTGGGGCTTGGGGTGGGAGCTAGACCTAGAAATAGCAGCAGGCAGTTGGGTGTATGCATCTGGGTGCACGTGATGGAGGGTTCCTAGGCAGAGACCAAAGTTCAGAAGGAGGTGGTCCTGGGGGGCGCAGTGGGTTAAGCGCCTGCCTTGGCCTCAGGTCATGATCTCAGGGTCCTGGGGTCCAGCCGCACCTGGGGTGGCTTAGGCTCCCGGCTCAGCGGGGAGTCTGCTTCTCCCTCTGCCCCTTCCCTCTACTCATGTGCCTGCTCGCTCTCTCTCTTTATCTCTCCCAAATAGATAAAATCTTTCTAGAAAAGGTTTAGAAGTAGTGTGTTTGACAGAAAGTCATGACTTGAACTGGAGTCCTCCCATTAGAGGAGAAGAGGGCAGCGTGGAAGAGGGAGACGGGAACCATCAGTGGTGGTTGAGCGATTTGATAAAGCCCCTTATCTACTCCTCAGTAACTGCCTTTATAGGCTTGTGTTTTTCTCCCCTTTTAATAGGGCTGGAAATCAAGACTTAGGGAGTTTAAATAATCTGCCTAAATTCTGGAACCTGGTAATCGGTAGAGGTGAGGATACAGACCCAGATCGGAGACACCAGCTCCTTCTACCACGTTGATGCCATCGGTAGGGTTGAGTGTAGGAGGAGAAGGGAAAGAAGACCAGAAAGTTGGTGGTACCTTGAATTAACCCTGAAGGGGTCCGTGACGTCACTGTGATAACCTCAGTTTTGGTTATGTTCAGTGTAAGGAGCTTGTATGCACTGAGTAGGAGAGTTTGTTATGTCACTTGAAGACTCGGGTGTGACACGCAGATGTTAGCATTTGGAACTGCGGAAACAGAGAGGCCAGAGAAGATAGAGATGCTAGGGGACGTGCCTGCCACTTTCTCCTTCCAGAAATCTAGTCCATGTTTTCTGAATATAGCTAGAGGTTTGCAACTCAGTTTCTAAAAGCATATTTTGACAGTGTGAATGGGGGAAAAAAAGTATATTTTCATACATCTTATTTTCTTACAGATTGTTTTCCATTTGCTGTTATTGATCTTACTGAAGTTCATATAATTTCATATTTTCTCATTGGTCTTTCCAGTATTTTGTTCCATGCCATACTTTTTGGTGTGTATTTTGTTATATTTTCTCCTCTGTTCTGTTTTGGTCCTACGTTGTTGATGAATCCCTCATTCCCCAAATTCTGAAATCAGGTTTCATTGGACCGCAGGCGTAAAAGGGAAGCAATGCAGAAATCAGAGTGCCCTGGAGGCGTACAGTTGAGAAACAGAAAGGCAGGTACAGAACACTGCTTTTTAGATGAAGAGGTGAATTTTGTTAATGACACATTGTTACATAGATGGGTAAGAGTGAGCTTTGTCTCTTTCACCTCTTTTTTGTTCATCTTCTGTGTTTTCCAGCTAACGGTGATCAAAGGACATCATCAAGTGTACATAGGACTACAGTTCAACAAAGCAGCTCCTCATCATCAACCAGTTCTCCAGAGACTGCAAGAAAGCTTCATCCTCGACCAAGTGATAAACTTAACCCTAAGACAATTAACCCGGTAGGTACAAAAGACGTTCCTGACTCAGATTTTTCAGAGTAACAGACATTTAGCACCCTGTTGAACCATTCTGAGCACTGTCTCAAGTTTGTGATTTTTTTTTTTTTTTTTTTTGGTGATGGGGAAGGTTACGTTAAAGCTGGTAGGGCATATGGTAATCATGATGAAGAATGGAAATAATGATAGTGTGGAAATGAGAAGGTGTAGAGAAGAACCAGTTACGCCATATCCTATCACATTCATGGATGAGTATACTAGAGTATAAAATAAATTGCACACCAGCTTTATTTTTTACTTACTATAGTTCGATTACTTCCTAATATCTACGCGTAAGCTTGTGTTCAGTTGACAGAGGATGGATTACATGCTTCCATAGTTGCATAAACGTCTCTGACCATTTTGCTGTGACCTATAATTTAGCTCCCTCAGAAATCCCAACTATAGTCCTGGCCTCCTTTTGCCTTCGGACAGCAGTTTATTCAAATTTAATGAATATGAGATTTATGCTCATTAAAGTGAATAATTGTAAGTGTGTAGATCAGTGAATTATCCAAAAAGTGAGTACACCTGTGCTACAATGCCAGGTGGTGTCTGCCCAGCCTTGCACGGAGTAAGATGACCACGGTTTCAGCCTTTACAGGGGATTAGAGCGTGGCTGAGACACTGGCTTTGATGGCCCGTGGAATACAGCAAGGATACAGTGAACTGGCCAAGGGCAGAAGGAGGTCGTCCGACTTTACAAATGAAAAAGAGCGTAAACATATGTGTTCCTCTCCTTCTTTCTGCGCAGTGTCAAGTTGGACTCCTGAAGAGTAGCCTGCTATCTCCTTGTTCTAGCTTCTTTTCCCCATGTTTGGTAACGAGAACTCATGGGTGACGCTTGAATTTTCTTCCTGTCTTTGAAGAAGAACTTTTTTAAATAGTGCCCTAAGTGGCCCTAATGTTAAATTTTCTTAAGAATGAAGGAAAGTTTTGGGAAATAATGATTTGACCTGAGAATCGAGTGTATTGGATAAAACCATGCCTAGGATCTATTAAAGCTACCAATCCAAAGTAGGTCAGCTAGAAGTCAGGCTGGAGGTCCCCACTGGAGAAAAAGGGAGTTAGGGCTTGGTAAGCAGCACTGAGGAGATGCCTAGGTGCTGGGAACATTCAGGCTTTCCACAGCCGAGTGCTGTTACACCACTGTTTGTCTTGGAGAATCCGCTGGTCTACACACCTACAATTTATGCACTTGAATGTGTGTACATTTTGAGTATTTCATTTGAATCAAAAGTCTAAAAAAATTTTTTTTAACTCAATATAGTGAGGTATATTTAATAATGCAGATTATTTTAGAGTTGAAACATGGTCTGTGGTGACATTGTTAAAAATTGAAGGGACAATAGTTTTTTCATGGTAAAGGAATTTTGGTAAGATTTGGTCAAAATCCATAAAATGAACCCATTGGTAGAAAAAAGAAAACTTTTTATAATATAGGACCTGGAAGATGAAACTTATTATTTCTAAAATGAGTTAAAAAGAAAGGAATTGCTTAGAATTTCAATCAGAAAAATCAGAAATTTTGCCTTGGGGTGCCTGGGTGACTCGGTCGATTGAGTGTCTGCCCTCGGCTCAGGTCATGATCCCAGGGTCCTGGGATGAAGCCCCACATCAGGCTCCCTGCTCCGTGGGCGGCCTGCTTCTCCCTTTCCCCCTGCCTGTTGCTCCCCCTGCTTGTGCTCTCTCGGTTTCTCACTCTGTCAAATAAATGAGTGTAATCTTTAAAAGAAGAAGTTTGTCTTGGTGTGTTTTGGAAATTTAGAGATTATCATTTGCTAATAGGTGCTAGAACTAAAAGAAGTGTATGTAGCTCTAAGTTGTCTTAATTTTTCTCCCACTGCAAAAACATTTTTTCAGGTATCCTTATGTGATAATGTTTACTTGAAAACAGTTTTTAAAACACACTTTTCTTCTTCTTCTTCTTTTTTTTTTTTTAATAAAGATTTGATTTATTTTCGAGAGACAGAGAGAGAGAATGGCAGAGACACAGGCAGAGGGAGGAGCAGGCTCCATGCAGGGAGCCCGACATGGGACTCGATCCCAGGTCTCCAGGATCACGCCCTGGGCCGAAGGCAGGCGCTAAACCGCTGAGCCACCCGGGCTGCCCTAAAACACACTTTTCTAAGTAGGAATTAGACTTAGATGAATGAATGAAACATTACTATTTCTGTGAATTATGCAGAATACGGATTGAAGTTTGTAAATGAATCTCTTACTGTAACACTGTACACTAATGAAACTTCATCTATGAGTTTTAACCTCAAGCATATGTGTTTTTCCAGAGGAAAAAAGGCTAATTATATACTTATACCCTTAAATATATTCTTTAATTGCTGCATGTGATTTTATGTATTTATTTATTTTTAAAAGATTTTATTTAGTTTATCCATGAGAGACACAGAGAGAGAAGCAGAGACACAAGTAGAGGGAGAAGCAGGCTCCATGCAGGGAGCCCAGTGCGGGTCTCGATCCCGGGTCTCCAGGATCACGCCCTGAGCCGAGGGCAGATGCTCAACCGCTGAGCCACCCATGCGTCCCCTGCATCTGATTTTAAAATAGTTTTTAGCTGGTTATATCTTTAAAATAGGTTAGTAAGTTTGCATTTTCTAATTTAGATACCTATATTTCAATTGATTATGTTCAAAGTACCATGTGATAAAATACTTATTATTTGTGCCTAAATTCTCTGTCTTTGATCAACTGTTTTGAAATTATGCATGCTAGGATTGTTTGACTATTGTGATCGATCGATCATCTCTTACATGGACTTTGGGAATACAGAGTTAACTTATTCTTAAGATAATACATAGACAAACTGAAAGTTGTGAAGTCATATATGTGAGCAGACACATCCAGGCATGTGTTTGCTAGAGTCTTGCTCTTTCTTCTTCAGTTTTATCAGCCCTGCCCATCTAAAGCCTTTTTCTTGTATAGAAGCATAAAAGCAGACTGGAGAAGTTACAGGTCCTCTGGCCGTCCTGACTTCCATATTTGACTGGAGGACCAGTGGGAGATGTGCCGGAGGCTGCAAACAAATCTGCTTTCCCTGCACTGAACTGCTCCTCTCCTTGTACCCCTCACCTTGACAGGTCACACTGGTGGAGGGTAGAAAGATGTATTACCTTTATTATATTTATTTGTGATGTTCATACTTAATAATATTTATCTATATTATATTTACTATGTGTGTGATTCCAGCTGCCCTCAAGCCTCCCGAAACGAGTTAGGAGTAAAAAAGAAATCCACCACGTGTGGTTGTGGTTGCAGTACTGAGAGGACTGATAATTTCTTCTGTTTTGTCGCTGAGTAGAGTGGTGCACTTGATACCAGCGTCACGGGATCAAAGTCAGGATGTCCGTTTGCCTCTGACCTCAGCAGGATTAAATTTGATTAGGTGTCATTCCCAAGTGGAGGTGATAGTGGATTTATCGTATTTGTGTCATTTTTTATTTCCAGTTTGGTGAACAGTCACGAGCTCCTTCTGCGTTTGCAGCCATTTACTCTAAAGGAGGTATTCCTTGCAGGTAAAAATCAATACAGGTTATTACTGACCATATTATTCAAAATAATTGAGTAAATCAATAACAGTATTTAGTGTAAGTGTATTAAAAATTTTATTTACTAGAGAAGTTGGAATTAAGGTGACTTCCTAACCCTGGGAAACGAACAAGGGGTGGTGGAAAGGGGGGTGGGCACTGAGGGGGGCATTTGACAGAATGAGCACTGGGTGTTATGCTGTATGTTGGCAAACCGAACTCCAATAAAAAATATTAAAAAGAAATAAAAAATATATTAAAGAAAAAAAAGAAATTAAGGTGACTTGATAGATTGTGGGACATTGTTGAAGAAGATCATTTTAATTCCAAAATAGAATTACCAATAGATCTATAACTTAAGAAATTGAATGAACCAATTTCTAAAACATTATAAGTCTTCATGGCCTTGGGCAAATTGCAAATAAATAGTTCTATTTTTTTTTTTTAAGATTTATTTATTTAAATCTAATAGACATAGAGAGAGAGGCAGAGACACAGGAGGAGGGAGAAGCAGGCTCCATGCCGGAAGCCCGACATGGGACTCGATCCCGGGACTCCAGGATCGTTCCCTGGGCCAAAGGCAGGCGCTAAACCGCTGAGCCACCCAGTGATCCCAATAGTCCTATTTTGTTTGTAAACTGCATGTTGATGATTTAATGAAACTTTCATTTTTTTAAAAAAAATTTTAAGCTTCATTTATTTATTCATGACGGCAGAGAGAGAGAGAGAGAGAGAGGCAGAGACACAGGCAGAAGGAGAAGCAGGCTCCATGCAGGGAGCCTGATGTGGGACTCGATCCGGGTTTCCAGGATCACACCCTGGGCTGAAGGTGGCACCAAACCACTGGGCCACCCTGGATGCTCAGAAACTTTCATTTTTCAAAATGATATTTCAAAAAATTATATTTATTTTTAAAAAATATTTTATTTATTCATGAGAGAGAGAGAGAGAGAGAGAGAGAGAGAGAGAGAGGTAAAGACACAAGCAGAGGGAGAAGCAGGCTCCATGCAGGGAGCCCGACGTGGGACTCCATCCTGGGACTCCAGGATCACGCCCTGGGCTGAATGCAGGCACCAAACTGCTGAGCCACCTAGGGATCCCTCAAAAATTATATTTATTGAAATGATATTTCTTAATAAGTATATATGACTTTTTTTGCTCCCTTTTGATAGAATTCTTGGCATCTTTCCAGGTAGACATCAGAACTGTTTTAAAGAAAACAATATAGTTTCTAATGGAGTGATACCATTTCAAGATTTCACTACCAAGAAACATTTATTTCTTCTAATATATCCAGTTTTAGTCTGTTCTAGATGATAGAAAATGTCGTTTTCACTGTCGAAAGAATAATCACAATATTCTTTCTGTTGTTCTAAAATTCAAGAAATGGGGGCACCTGGGTGGCTTAGGTGGTTAAGCATCTGCTTTTGGCTCAGGTCAGGATCCCAGGGTCCTGGGATGGAGCCCCATGTTGGGCTCCCTGCTCAGCGGGGAGTCTGCTTCCCTCTCTGCTGCGGCCTCTGCCCTTCCTTCTACTCTCTGTCTCTCTCAAGTGAATAAATGAAATCTTTAAAAAATAAAATAAAATTCAAGAAATGTAGTTTTTAATGGTACCTGCAGATTTGGAGGAATAAACTCAATGATTCTTCATTTTATTGTGTCTATTTTTTATTTGTATTCTGAGTTGAAACTATTTCAAGGTTCTCATACTCCCCTTCCCACTCCAAGCAATCATGGTTGCTAAAATAGTAAAAATGTCACTGAGGCCTCTTGCTGTGAAGAAAATAATGCTAAAGAAAGTGTCAAGAAGTTGAGAATGTTATAAAATGGTGAAGAAACCTTTGAGGGCGATGGATAAGTCCACTCTCTTGATTATGATGATGGTTCATGGATGGATTCACATATCCAAACTTTTATCAAATTCTGTACTTTATAACCATGTACAGTTTTTTGAATGTTGGGTTTTTTTAAAAAAAATATTTTATTTATTTACTTGAAAGCACAAGTGGCAGAGGTGGAAGGAGAGGGCGAAGCAGACTCCCGGGCTGAGCAGGGAGCCTGACAAGGGGCTGGATCCCACTCAGGACCCTGGGATGACGACTTGGGCCGAAGGCAGACACTTGACTGACTGAGCCACCCCCCATCCCAGTTCCTCTGCACCCCACCCCCCAGCCCAACAAAACAAAGCAGAAAGCAGCAGCAGCGACCCTAACTGAAGGAGCTCCCACTTTGTAAGCTTGCATGGGCTACTTAACCTCCTGCCCTCAGCTTTCTTCTGTTGAGCAGGGCTAAAATCTGGCTTGTCTGCAGATCATTAGGGTTGAGTGTTCTATATCTGAAATAATGTTCCATGCACAACAAGTTACTGTTTCTCGTTATCACCTTCCTTGGTTTGCACATCTGTAGGTTATCTGTTTTGTTATAATTATGACTGAAACATGTCAAGTGTAGCGTTTGTATTAAGACTCAGCAGCATGCCTGAGCCCCGGAACTGTAGGCTTCACAAATGTGGAGTTTAGTTTTACCATCACACAATTTTGCTGAAAGAGTAGGAGTTTGTGGGATTATAGATGTTGCTGCATAAGATGCCTTCGTAGCATCATTTCCAGCTGTGGTGTTCCTACATGTTACAGAATAGTTCTAACATGGTTATGGTCTAGAAAGAGTATGGATATGTTAGATCATTACTGCTTAGCATCTAATGACATTGTCCGTGTTAATGTTCACTGATGTTCATTATTTTAGGTTGGTCCACGGTTCAGTGAAACACAGATTGCAGTGGGAATGTCCTCCCGAAAACCTTCCGTTTGATCCTCTTCTTATTACTCTAGCTGAGGTAGGTGTATATCCCATTTCTCCTGCATGTTTATGGGGAAAAAAAAAAAGCTTTTTTAAATTTTTAAAATTGTTTATGGAAAAAAAACTTTTTTTAAGTTGTATTAAATGTTATTTTGTAATGCGTCAGTAAATCTTACTCTTTACTTTTGAAATAAGAGCCAAGCAATAGTCCTTAAAATACCACATTCCCTTAGAAACTAATTATGGTCAGTATATGTTCATTAGAAACTGATTAATTAGGTTTACACACAAGTTAGTGTGTACGGGGATTTGTACATAAGCGGATGAAATATTCGTACCTAATTCCAAAGACAGAAGTACTCAGAATCGTACAGAACTAATCCTATCAGCAGAGCGTCAGCGGTTTAACTTAAAGTACATCAGATGGCGGAGAGTGGTTGATCCCTCTCCACACAACCAGCCATGTCTACGTGACGGTGATGTGTTTCTCGGGGAACTGATCTGAACTACCTGAACGCCCTTTTGGAGAATTCTCTGCGCTTTTCCCATCTGTACATTTTAAGTAGAATATCGTGGAGATCATTTTTATAGAGGGTTTTAGGAAAACTTCTGATAAATTCCTTTATGTTATTTGACATTTATATCAGGAAAAAGTTGGCAGAGTATTAGCTTGAGGTGAATCAATGGTCTCTTCTAGGCAATTTATTCCTTTTGTTAGAGTCACAAGTTCAGAGACGAATTAACCACTTGTTGTATATTTAAGGTAAAGAAACTTGTCTTTTTTAAGAGTTATGGATCATTTTGTTGGTCTTGTTCTTCTTAATTTATTGCAAGAGTAGTTTGGTATGAGGCCAGTGATGGGCAGCCTGTTTTGAAATTCAGTTTTGATCAAAATCTTTTAAACTTGGTATTAAAAACTTAAAATGTATCAGTGTTTCATCAGTTATTTTAAACTTATGTGTATGTTAGCAAATCATTTTTTAGATGACTCAGTGCTATAGTGACAGCTTTGGAAACAGGCTCCAGCTAACCAAAAGGTGAGGGGGGTCCTTTAATTTGGGGCGTCCTTAAGGGAGTCTATGTTTATCTAGTCCAGATCCCATAAAGTCAGTTCTTTAAATAATTATTTTCCAACCACCAGTGCCTTTATTTCTGTGTCAGGTAGATTGTTAGCCTTCTCCTCTACTCTTTTAATAATGGGTAGGTACGCACAGAGCCTCCACGATGGAAATCCCTTCACAACTTGACTTGATTCCTCATCTCTAAAATGAGCGGGATAGGCGCACTCTTCAGATGATAGAAGCTGTGGGCCAAAGTGGTGCCTCTGTGGTTGGCAGCATGGTTTTCAAAAGCATCCAGGAAAGGAAGGGTTTGATCACTATTTGGAAGCAGGTAGTTTGATCTAAAGGGTAAATTGGTTGAAAATTAGTATTTTTAGGCATGATTTTGCAGCCATTTATTACTTAATCACAGACAGTAATGAGTCCCAACTGCAGGAGTATTGCTATTGCTTTTTTTGTTTCATGTTTTTTTAAAAAAAGCCAGATGGACCTTTTATCTTGACTCAAAGTGGTGAGTTAAATCATAAAAGAGTACTATCTAGTAGTTTCTGATGCACGTAGGGTGAAAGACTGCAACAATACACGTTTTTTCATGTTTTTCTCTCATGTTCCAAAGTTTAAAGTGACGTTTAAATTCTTACAGTGGTTTTCGAACATGGGAAAAGATATTATTAAAATACCTTAATATAAAAAAAAACCTTTATATAAAATATGTAATATGAAGGAAATATAGTATTTTAGAAACTAGTTAAACAAGTTGTAAAATCACCATAAAGGTAGGAGGTCCAATAATTATGCATTCATAAAGTGGTGATTATAAAACAGCATTTTAGATTGATTCATGGATTTCAAGCAATATTCAGGGGTACACACAAAATTTTTTTAGTATCCTTGTGAGGGTTTCTTTTTATTTCTTTTTATTTACCTTTGGTCTCCTTCCCTCCCTCCTTCCTTTCTCTTTCTTCTTTATTTCCTTTATTTTTCCTGCTTTTCTTTTCCTTTTTCCTGTTCTTTTAATTTTTAAAATATTTTTTTTCCTTGCTGTGGGTAGAAATTCTTCCTGTCTCATATATGTCCTTTGTTCCACATTTTCTGGGTTTAATTAACATGGTAATTACTGAAATTACAAATTATGGTTAGGAAAACCATAATAAAACTTGATTTTCATTTAGACTAGTGAAGATTCAGTTTTGTTCTTAGCGTAACCAGGTGTGTAGTAAGTCAGTCAGTCTTGTTTGTTTATTTGTTGGTTTTGTCTCTGGCAGGGTTTGAGAGAGACTAGACACCCATACACCTTTGTGTCGAAGGAGGGTTTCAGAGAATTACTGTTGGTGCAAGGAGCTTCTGAGAAAGCTGTACCTTTGCTTCCGAGACTGATTCCTGTGCTAAAGGCAGCTCTGGTATCCTCTATTCCTTTGGACTTTCTGTGGTACATTTAGAGTATTTTATGTCTTTTTTTCTTCCAAATTATTTGCAAATTGGTCCATTACCCGTGATTTTGATGTGCGTGCAAAATTAGGCCATGGTTATTCAGGGACAGATGATTACTTATTTGAAGACTCCTTTGGAGGATATACGAAAGGTGAAAGGGGACATTTTGAGTAATTAGAGAAAGTAATAAAACCTCACATGAGTCTTGCCGCATGCTGTGATATAGTTTAATTAGTGTTTCGGTCAAGCCGGAGATCTGTTTTTTTGATTCTCGATGGTCCGGTGTTAGAGGTGGATTCTGGGTTTAGTTGCTTATCTTGTGACTTTGAATGTACATTCTTACTTTTTTTTCTGGTTGACCTTCTTATCTCTCCTTTTCTCCTCTTTCTTTTCCTGTCCCTACACCCCCGGCCACCTGACCCTCCAGGTCCACCTGGATGATGAAGTGTTTGCAAGAGGACTGAATGCTCTCGTGCAGCTTAGCGTCGTTGTTGGTCCTTCTCTAAATGACCATCTGAAACATCTGCTTACAAGTGTAAGTGCTGAAAGATGAGAGTGGCTGTCCCCTCTGTATCTCATCATGATTTGGTGGCTTCAAATTAATCACTAACTGATTCAGGAATCTTAAAAAAAAAAAAAAAATCCCCCCATTCTTTAAAAAACTACAGGTCCGACCAAGTAGTCCATAAAATATTTTACAAAGGTGCAGTGCAGTGTTTTCTTTAATTTTCCTACATGAGCAGGAGGGTTGCGATAAAAAGCAAGCAGAAGTTGAATGGATGAAAATTAATAACCAGTACGATGGTTTTATGCCAATGTTGATTGGCCGTGAATGATAAGGACGGCTTATACAGCCACAGCTGTGTTTTTCATCTTTTTTTTTTTTCCTTTTAAGTTTTTTAGTGAGTCTGTAAATAGTATTCAGGATGAGACTTTTCCCTGTTATGAGTAGTTTAATCCTTAGGACAAATACACACTGAGATCCTGGACAGTTCAGGAGGACCTCAAGACCACCCTTGGGTTGCTAGAAAGGCTCGTTAAACTCAGAAAAACCGTTATCTAGTGTTTCAGTTTATCGCAGTGCGAGTATACCGGTTAAAATCAGCGAGGGAAGGATGTGCAGAGAGCAGAGCCCAGGAGGGACCAGGTGTGGAGCATCTAGTTGTCCTCCCTCCCAGTGGAGCTCTGTGGACACTGCTTGCTTTTTCCCACAGTGACATGTGGCAACACACATGGAGTCTCAGGTCTCAACACACCTGAGAAACTCACCTCAGCATGGTGTCCAGGGTCGCGTTGGGGGGTCTCCCATGCAAGCATGACTGCCTGCTTGCGTGGTTGACCTTTGTCTCCAGCCTCTCCAGAGGTTGAGCTGACATCCTGTGGCCCAAGGGCACCCCCCCCCCCCCGCCACCGAGGAAACAAAGATACTCTTACTTGGCAGGTCATAGCGAGGGCTTAGGGGCTTCCATCCAGGAGCCAGGGACAAGGGCCAGTCCTTTTAGGCAAAGTGAATCCTTTACTGCACACACTGATAAAGAATTAAAGTCCTTGCTGGAATAGCCCATGGCTGGCATTTCTGTGTGTGTCCTTCTGTAGTTCAGAGCTGAGGCATGTATTTTGATCCTAGTTCTACTTTTTTTTCTGGACACATCCCTCTGAGAGATTCTAGAGCTGTATTTTTCACTTCTAGCTCCGCAGAGAGACGGTACATGCCAGGAACCTATGGCTAAGCCTATAGAAAGCGGGGATGGTAGTGAATGTCTGAGGATTACTGTGCTCAGGTTAGGTTAGGAAAGGTGGGAGATGAATTCCCACCAGCACCAGGTGTTTGATGGGAGAAGACACAGTCAGAATAGACTCAAACCTTAATATGTGGAGGCCTCAGGAGAGAAGGACGAGAACCCCAGCAGGTATTTGCTTATGACCTTTAGGTCAGCAGGTTGTACCTGATTAACCGCAGGAATCTCAGCCTAATATGTAAAATGACTCATTCTGGATTGATTGCTCCAGTTAGACAGGCAACATTTTAACACATCTGTTGCTCTCTGCCCTCTCGCTGTGGGCCAAGTTTATGCTGTAGGCACAGGGACTGTAATGCCGAACAAAAACCAGATAGGCCCTCTGCCCTGGTGGAGATTGGCTTTTGTTTTTTGGAGAAATAAGTAGCAAGGACATCCGCTGAGAACGTGGGAATGAGGTGAAGGGGTTGTGATAGAGAAAAGGAATCACGCTGGGCTCGATGCTGAGCAAGGGCCAGCACCTTTGCTTCCTAAGTAGCCTCTCAGTCCCACCCACCGTGGCAGAAAGAAAAGGCCAGGCTAAACCGAACTATGCACGTTTGTTTGTTTGAGTTTTTCTGGGTCGGTAGCATTATTTGGTCACTCACATTCCTCCCCAGAACCCTGGACTGAGTGAAAGAGGCCTCTCCCCTTCCTGGAGTGTCAGCACCTCGGGAAGGTCTGGATACCACACTGGCCTTCACCTGCCGGTGGTTTTCCCTAGAGGAGGGAAACTGGGGATTAAATCTTGGTCTGTTAGCCGCGCACCACCAGGCACCCCTGAGGACCCACTGAGGGGTGCACCCCCTTACCTCACTTTACCCCCATTAGCCGGAAAGGCTCCGTTTTCGTTTACATATGTTTGGTTTATGGACCTCTGCCTTAGATGTTCTTTGAAGAAAGGGTTCTCTCCTCTAGAAAAAGAATTTCACAACCAGTTACGGAGCCCATAAAGGACTCATTTATTCCTACACAAATGAAGTCAAGTCTTGCTTAGCTTCCACTCAGACTTCCCACTGTCCCTGGGACAGTGGTCCTTAAACTTTAAAGAGGAAATAAATCACCTGGGAATCCTGATAAAAATGCAGAACCTGGGCCTTTGCCCTGAGATTCTGGTTAAGTCAGTCTGGGTGGGACCCCAAAATCTGTACTTTTTGTATGCGTGGATCGCGTGATTCTGGAGGTGGTGCTTCGTGGATCTGCCCCTAAGCCACTGCTCCCGGGTAATGTGGTCTGCAGAAAGCAAGCCAAAGATTTGATTTTCAAGGGGTATTTTGTCTTTTTTCTTTTTTTCCCAAGTCGGCTCCATGCCCAGTGTGGAGCCCCATGTTGGGGCCTGAACTCATGAGAGGTCTTGAGGTCAAGACCTGAGCTGAGATCAAGAGTCGACGCCCTACTGGCCAAGCCCCCAGGTGCCCCAGGAGGCACTTTTCTTGTCCATCCCCAGGGCTTTGATAAAGTCTGTCTGTCCTCTCACTTAGAGTTGCTTCTCTCACATTTTTATCTTCCTGGGACTCTTCTGACCCTCCCCCATCTTCACTGACATGACTGAAAGGCCTTCTCCTCGGTGCTCAGTGGTGGGAAGCACTCCTGGGTTTCTTCCATCTGTGCGAAGAGGAAGAACCAGAAACCAGCTCTAGGACAGGCCCTTAGAAGTATTTGATCGATGACTGATTCTTGCCTGGGCTTCATTGGTATTTCCAGAAAGTGGAGCCGTGAGCCAGTCCTGCCGTGGGCTCATATGTTTAGGTCTTAGGGTGAGTTGAGTAATGCAGACATTTGGTGGGGGGGACGCTATCCTAGGTCGTGCCTGACGGTCTGAACTGCTGTTTTTCCCTCTTGGTTCCTGTGATTTTATCCCCCCTCCCCTTGTGCTCTCCCTTTGCAGAGTTCCCCTGTCGGTCTGAAGCCCATTCAGGCTGTGCCAGGGACAGGTGGTCTTGTGGTTTGGAGTCGGAATGGCCGGTCACTGTGGTCACTGTTGTTACTGTGTCATTCCTGTGAACACTCTCCTTTTCGTCTCTTCCCTTTTTCACACTTTAGGAAACACCTGTGTTTTCAGAGGCTTAGCCTTCCATCACGGTCCTCCAAATGCTCTCGGAAAATACAAATTGGAGAAATACGCAGTTTCATAGGAAACTTATCCTGGATACCATTCTCTAGCAGGTTTTACAGGATCGGTATCATTTGAAATAGCGTGAACTCTTTCTTTTAACGAATACAGTGCTGTCTATTATACATAAATTTCCACAAGATACTTTCTAGAAGAAGCCTTGGAATCTAAACAAATGATGTGTGGATAGGTCGATACAGCAAGGACTCAGTGGTTTTATTTCTTGTTAGCATCCTCTTCTGTAAAGTTTTACTTATGCCTGTGTGAATATTACTGCTTTTCAAATCATTTCATCCTCCCAAATCTTCCTTTACAAGCTTTCCAAGAGACTAAGGGATAAGAAATTCAAAGAGCCAATCACCAGTGCGTTACAGAAGCTGGAGCAGCATGGTGGAAACGTAAGTAAAACATCATTCCTTAAGCCACATTTTCTTTACTTTCACTCTACAAAATGGACTGTGTAACATGTATTATTTCGGCCACAAGTAATCATGTGGAGTTGAGGTTATTTTGCTATGAGAGCTCAGAGTTTCTGTCTTGTGTAGGTCACACAGTGTTGAAGCGTTGGGGTTCAGACCGGACTGTGTAGACGCTGGCCCGGGATACCTCTCTGTGCTTCCTGTGTGGTACTCCGTGTTGTGCAGCGTTACGGGTGTTCCCTTTTTTTTTGGGTGGTTTTGCTTTTTAGACCATTAGAAAGTTCAGAAAAACGGAAGGATTAACAGGGAGAGCTCATTGAAGAAAGTACTCTTTTTTTTCTTTCATTTGCCATCTTTTCTGTCTAAAAAAATATATAATTTTGTCATAGTCACGGATTGAAATAATGAGATTTCCAGATGGCTTCACTACCATGTCGGAAGCGCCACGTGCTCTGGAACGCGTGTAGGCACATACACGAGGATGAATCAGGTTATTGGGGCTTGCAAAAATGTGCAAGAGTGGGAGGGGATCCCATTATTACCTGTGTGGTGTCAAATAAACTAGGTTAATTGAATTTTCATTGTTTAAAGAAGGGTTCACATAATCTAGCCTTGGAAGTGTTTCTGTAAAGCAGTGATGCCACCTTGTTGTGGAGATTACATTTAATCAGACCTGAATGATGGGGCTGCATGCGATTATCGTAACATTCACTGGAGGTGCTTTCAAAAGGAATTATAAAGAGAATTCTTGTGATCATATACAATTTTAAAATGGCAGATGTGTTAGTTTAAGTCTTGTCCAAATTACCTAATTGACCAATTCCAGTGACCGCTGAAATTGATCATCTTCTTTCCCCGATGAATGGGTCAGATAAAGTCTAGGAGAAGGAAGGAAGTCCCTAGATCACTAGGTAACACGCTCCTTTGTTCCCTATGCAGGATTAGGATTAGCGTGCAGACACCTCGTCCAGACGTCCAGAAGCCCAGAAGCACCCCCTAGCCTAGCCAGCTTCTCTCAGCAGAAAGGAAATTGTTTGCTTGCAAATGCGCTTCTGAGAATTGGAATGCAAAATAGTTTGCCATTTCCTCCCCAGTGAAATGCAAGTAAACAGAGGCTAAATATTGATGCGCAGTTCAATCTGCGACTCTCCCCAGGCGGCTTTCACGCATTCCGTGGAAGGGGCGAGCGGAAAGGGCCCGGAAAGGGCCCGGCCCAGCGTGTTAGATCTCGTGGCTGAATGTGCTGCGCAGGCGGGCGTCGTTCTCAAGTAAATAGACTTTAGCGACCGCGCGCTGAGATTTGGAGGAGAGTAAGGGGTGTAGGTGACCAGCCCAGGGCCGCAGAAATAGCTGGCAAGGGAGTCCCTCTTACTGCCACTCACTCTCATTAGTCCCGAATCCTGCTAATAAATTAAAATTTTGAAGTTAAGTATTGTTTATTTTTTCAGACTTTTTCTCTTCTTGTTCTTCTAATGTCTTACATGATATTTTAATAATAATATTTGATGAGAGGTTTTCTTCGGCCTAATGACCATTACGCTTGCTTTTGGTACTTGCAATCCCTCATGAGGTTAGCGGTGCCCCTCCTTCCCTACTAAACACTTCAATCTCTGTATAGCTTTCTCTTTCTTTAAATAGTAGAGGTGTGTCATTAGGAGAATCTCCTCAGTATTGCAGCTTATCATTTCTTGGGGGCTTGAGTGTCCCACAGTGATGGAAACACTCCGCTTCTGGGGAGACAGGAAAGTCGGCTCCAGGCTCCGAGTCACTGTTTTACAACTGATTGGTTTACTACCTGCCTGAAGCATCAGTTTACTCTTACCTTGATTTAACTTTCATCCTAAGTCATGGGCATGTCTGTCTTGGGAAGGGTACACACTCGAACACACCCCAATCTTGACTGAGCCCATGGGAAGTCAGGAACTCAGCTGAGTGCTTTTTATTTTGTTTGTTTGTTTTATTAAAAGATTTATTTACTTGAGACAGAGAGCATGACCCGTGGGGCGACGCAGGGTGGGTAGAGGGAGAAGCAGATGCCCTGCTAGGCCGGGAGCCCCACCCACAGGGGCCCTATCCCAGGACCCTGAGAACATGACCTGCACCCAAAGCAGATGCTTAACCAGCTGAGCCATCCAGGTGCCCCTCAGTTGAGTATTTTTAGTCATTAAACTCATCGAATCCCCACTGCAGCCCTCAGGGGTAGATTGTGTTGTTATCCCCCTTTAAAGATCTAGAAATTGATGCTTAGAAAAATGTAGCCCCAGTTTTAATAGGGAAGTGCCTGGCAGAAACAGACTCAAATACTGGTGGTCTGGTTCCTAACCACTTCTCTAGTTAAACGTATTTTTAAAAGAGTAGGAGACAACCTGTATTTTACTGAACTCAGAAAAAGGTTTCACTTGTCATTCCATCTTGTGTTCTCGTTCCATTTTGTTTGTTTTGAGTTTTGGATACTTCTTAAGGCATGCTCCTCTAGATGTAGTACCTGTCAGGGGAGCCCTACAGCATACCAATGAAGCTAAATTTTTTTCTTTTGACAGGGCAGCCTTATCATCATCAAATCTAAAATTCCAACATATTGCTCCATATGCTGTTGAAGAAGGGAGCCCACAAAAATGTTGTCAGCCCCCGTGACAGGTGCTAAATGCCGACCATGAGTACCTTTGGAACGTCTTCAGATTTAACTTCAGTTTATTCTTTTGTTGATCACAGCCACCATTCATTATTTACTAGACTAAGAGGAGTATACACAGTTCCACTGAATCATAGTAAAAGTTATTCCTCAACAACAAAACAAGAGTGGTCGATGATGGAAAGCTATTAAAAATGTCTTCTAATGGTACAATTTTGCAGGGTTGGTTTTTCATATTTTTACAGATTGATGCGAACAACCATTATTGGGTTTATAATAGAAGTGACTGTATGTATTTTCTAACGCCTTTTATTTATCATATACCTTTCACAATTTGTAGCCGTGTGCTTATTTTTAGACATTTTGTCATTTCTTGGGTTTTATGTTTATCAAGGCTACAGAAATGTAAATAGTGGACAAACATTTGTGAATTCACTGTTAATTATTGTCTGTAAATATGTATTCTATGATACGGAATACTTGGAAAAACTTCATACCAGAGTATTCTAGTTTAAGAAATTTTTCTGAATGTGTAAATTCTCTTGTAAGTATGTTATTTATTACAACTCATTAAAACTGCCTAAACTTTAGGTGTTAATTATATTTAAGTAAATGTTATTTTTGTATCCCATAGTCTGAAAATACTGAAGATACTCATTGCATGAAGATATTCCACAATTAAAATCTTAAAACTCTTAAATGTAGCCAGTGATTTTGTTATGTCTGCTTATGTCTAACAATGAACTCAACTAAAAAAGCTTTTAAAACCTACTTGACAGGCATAGTTCTCAGTGAGGAGGTTTTAGAAGCTGAGCCTGGATCATTCTACAAGAGAAAGGAATAGAGTGAGAAAGAGAAAACAGGAATAAGACTTTCCGTCCTGAGGGCAAGAAGGGAGACCACAGGGACTCCCACTGTGAGTGGCCCCACCAAATCCAAAGCAGACATATTTTGGGAGGGATGGAGGGATGGAGGTTGGGGGTCACTCCCTTATATGGGAGCACTCATATTATGTCTCAGCGCCATTGAGGAATGCCTTCTCACCCCATCCCTCAAGTACGCGACTCTCATTTCAGATACAGTCTCGCAGCTGGAATTTAAAAGAGGACAAGTAATTACTGAAGAGTTATAATTGCAGAAATGCTTGTCCCTCTTGGCCCTGCTGTCTGGGATATTCCTTTCTTAGGTCTCTACTCACCTGTCACATCCTTGGATCGTGTCAGCTGAGGCATACACCTGCCCACGGGCTTTGCTTTTACTCCTTTTGGTTGTTCTTGGCACCACCCTAAGGCAAAGACGTGTACAACCCGGCAGTGCCGTTACGTAAACATTTTTAGTCTAGTACTTATATGAACTTTGTTGGAATAAATACCTATAACATAGACAGTAGAGTTATAAACATTTTATTTGCTTTTATTTTTTCTTTTCGAAATACAAAATGTGCACATTGAGTTTACGCAAACACGCAATGGCAAATTTCAGTGTACATGTATTGTACTACTCTTAATTTCTACACTGGTGATAGCAGGGCAGCTTTCAACATCCTATCTCTACACCAGAATAGATACCTGATTTATTGTTGCAAAGACAGTTGCAGATTTTCTCCTACTGTAGCCTCTTGGCCTTCATGATGTTTCTGCAAAACAGGGAAGCTGTGTGTATCCCTAGTAATAATGTTGGGGCAGCTTTACAATTTGGGCATAAGATCACTGAAAAGAATCTGAATTACTGGAGTTTTGTGATAAGCAAAATGACACTACAGTCCAGATGAATTGCTTAGCATCTGTTTTCATTTTCAGTGAAGTTTTGGTGTGGTAGTTGTTGATACAACGGACTCACTGATGGTTTCAGACTCAATTCTGCTTGTTCCTTGTTCCCTGTAGGCATTGGGGGAGTCCAGGTGTCTTTGTCCCTAAATGGGGTGTAAGAGAAAGGTACCCTGGGGAGTCAAGAGAAAGGGGATGGCACAGGCCTTCAGTGCTGTTAGGAACTACTTGCTATTCACTATTACCGTGTGCTAGAGGGCAGATATCGTGACCCTTTGCATATGCCTATTAGCATCCTTGCTTAGTTCCACACCTTCTTGGACTTCCCGCTTAATGACACAAATAGAAGACAGTCAACCAGTAGGATTGGACAGATCCAAAATTATATTCGTCACGTAGGCCTTGGCAATAACATGTGTTATGAAAAATTAAGAAATGCTTATTAAATAAGCTTTATTAGGCATATGCTGACATCCGGTGATGAACTAATTTGTTTCATGTTATAAAAAAATGCCAGGTAAATGAATACCTTTAACAGAAGGCAGCAGATCCATAGAAACGGGGACTGTGTGTGTGTTTCTCAATTATTGTGATCTTGTTTTGTTTACTTAGTGTATAAATGGAATCACAGCATACAAACGTGAAAATTAATTTCTGGAAATTAAATGCAGATGCCAGTATTTTAGAAAACCATTTAAAATCCTGGGGCTGAAGACATAGAGTTGAGTAGCAAAAAACACTGACATTTTAAAATCACTGATAATGTGAAAGCTCAATAATCCCATGGCTAAAGGATCAATAAAACTATATGCCAGGTTCTATTACTTTTGAATAGTCACAGGGTATGAAACGACTTAGAACATCCCATGAACTCAGTGGCATTATGAAAAGGATGCGAATTTGTAACTGGAAAACTCAAATCTTTCGGGGATTGCTTTATGTTAAAACAAAGCCTGTTTGCATAATATGCCTCAGTGTAAAGCTGAGCAATCTAGGCTAAAAGTGGTAGCTCCAACTTTAAGTGTGGTAGAGTAGTTCACATTTGTCTGATTGAAGATGCATTTGACGAGTTAGATCACATTTTCAAAGAGCTGCATGGAGCGCATTATGTTTTCATCCTGTGAGGGAGACACAGCAGAATTAAGTGTATCTGCCAGGGACAGACCCTATTTCGCCTCTAAGTACTGCCCCCACCCCCACCCCCACCCCCACCCCCACCACTTATGCCAAAAGCTCAGATACTACGAGCTTGCAGCAAATACAAATATCATTCTATCCATTTTCTACATGGATCACTATGGAGAGCCCATTTTACCTCTTGTCCAGTCTGCAGGCTTTAAATATTTCATCTGAATCTTACTCGGTGTTAATAGAGAATATTTCCCGAGTCAGAATGCCAGAACGGAAACCAGAGGCCCGGGTGCGAAGGGTAAGTAAGGGCCAAAGAAAAGTGGGCAAATGCAAATTTTGCCATTCCAGGTGGATCACAGGCCGGAGCACAGTCTTGTCCATGTAGAAGGAAACAGGGTTTGGGTGTGGTCTAAGGGCCAACGTCATTCAGGATCAGAGGTTGGGGCTTAGGAGACGCGTCCATAGTCATTTCATCATCTCACTTCTCGTTTTGGGTCTGTTAGTGCTAAATCTGTATGGCTTTCAGAAGACTTTAAAAATGAACGGTCTCTCAGTGCCAGAGAAGGAATTGTTTGGGAGCAACCTTTGGCCAGCGGCTGTGTTCGGTTTAGCATATTCCTAAGGAACAAGGGGACAGACCGGGTACTATAGGGGCGCTTGGGGACTGTGAATGGCCCTTGGTGAGCCGGGTACAGTAATGGTAAATGGGAGCTGAACTTGTGCTGACTTCCAGGGCTAGAAGCCAAGCAACAGCATCAGCAGGTTGATGTCACCCAGTTAATCTCTCCAAGAGCAGGGGCCTTGAAATAGAACTTGAGACACAAACGGGGGCCAAGAAGGGGAAAGTCTGTCAATTTGAAAATGAAGAGAAAACCTCAAGTATCAACAGACCTCATCGTCTCTATATTTATTTACAACTATTTATTCTTAAATGTGGCTCTACCCATGCACCAAGTCAAATAATATTAGGTGAGCTAAAACTGGTCTTCCCACCAGATAATGAGGGAACCACTTGGATTTCTCCATCGAATTTCTCCGCTTTTTATTTTTTTATTAACTGGAGACCATTACCGGTTCATCCAAAAAGCCACTGCTGGTGCACATACGTTAAAGCAATTGTGTTTCCATCAGAAATCGGATGCGAGCGCGGCCTGTGATGTCTACTTGGCTGTACTGTAATTCTGAATCTATGGAGATAATGTGTCACCTGCTAAGTCTGGGCAGAGAACAGTTCAAATCTCACATATGTTTTGCCCCCAGTGAAGAATGCCGTCTGAAGGATTTAGGAAACAAAAATGCGGCCTATGGGTCACGTTCGTACGTTCAGGGCTTTCTGCGCAGCTCTCCTCAGGGTAGGCACCCTGTGAAGGAATGTTAATTAATTGAATTATAAACCGATGCTTGTTTTCAGAGTTTTAGGCTTCTCAGCTGTGTGCAAGTGGTAAGCTTGGGTCAGCTCCACGTCTCGCTCAGTCCCCGGTGGCTAGCTGACTCTACTTCGCCTGGCTATGGTAAAAAAGCAGAAGGGATGGGGTCTTTACTGCCATCACTTACCTTTTGGCAACTTTCAATGAACTCATCTATGGTCACAACTCCATCTTTATTTTTGTCCATTTTCTGTTGGGGAAGAAAAGACCAAAAATCTTTCACTCGGACCTGGCCCTTGGCAACCTCCCTTGGGACCCTCGCAGCTGAAGCTGATGAAGAGTCCACCCGCCTGTTTTACAGGGAGGAACTGCTTGAGAGCACAAGCTAGTCCCCTCTTCGGGATAAGAGTCCTAACGCCAACTGCTGTCGGGCTGTTCCCTTTCCAGCAGAACGTGGCAGACATCCAGGATCGCTGCCCTCGGTACAATCTGGCCCTCCAGCTACGCTAGCTCAGGCACTTTGCAGACACTTTCAGGTCTTGGTTTTCTCACCTGTAAATCGAGGCTAAAGAGGATTCATAACCATAAGGATTCTTGTGAGAATTTATTGAAAACAAACCTAAAAACAAGTGAAACATGGCAATTCTCTAGTGTTCTCTCTAGGATATGGTGAATGTTCAATAAGTGTAGTTATCAGTATCCTAATAAATTCAAAACCAAAATTACTAAATTCAAGGGACGGTTAATATTCTATTGCTCTGTCCCTCTCAGTAAAAGTTGTTTTTTTTTTTTTCTTCTTTTGCATTCTTCTGAATTATCATGACACTGGAAGAAATTTACTCTCTTTCACTCCCGCTCTGATTCCTCTACCTACCTGGAAAAATGTTTCCACGTGCTGTCTGGGAGCATCTTCCTTGAGGACAGGATATGTGCATTTACCCATCATATCGTATATTGCTTTCATTATATCAAGCATTTCCTGAAAAGTAAAAGGCACTCACGTGAGGCTCCATGCACTTTATGAAGAAACCACTCTGACGGATCATTCCTACTTAATTTCAGTTTTTTTCTTTTTTTTTTATTCAGCAAGTGCCTTTTGGTTGTCCCAGAAGAAAAGCCAGCAGTTTTGTGCCTTCAAGGCAGCAGGATCATCATGTGAGAATTAATTCTGATCTTGGCTTCAAAATGAAGTAAATTCCCACATATCCAAGATGATAGGAAAGGAATGTTCCGGCTTAATGTTTGGATTTCCTTAGACTTCCTCCTATAGACTATCTTTGTTTTATTAAGTCATTCTATATCTTATGTGTTTATTATGAATTTCCTTTTATTGAGAAAGAACTCCATATCATGAGCATTATACTAAAACTGATTAGTTTCAAAGCTTATTAGGATTTTCATTGTTTTTCCCTACTATGAATTCTTTAAATGAAGAA